CGGGTTATCTACAAACAGTTTTCTCATTCCTTCAGCGTAGAATATGGGGCAGCAGGCAAAGGTATCACCATAGTTATGATCCAGTGGACACAACACAAGTCCTTCGAGCTCCTTCCTGCATAGCTCCACTCTTCCCTCATCAATAACTGGGCCCTAGGTTTGTTCATAAGAAAGACAGTTGTTGAAGCATCCGTCAGATACAACAACCTTATCGCCAAAGAAGGAGGAGAGGGAAGACGCATCCTGCCTGCGCAGCGATCCTGGGTTTACAGAGTAAGAGGGAGAAATAATATCCTTGGAGTTATCAAGAAAGCGGGGAATACAATCTACTTGACTGAAGCGAAATTTAACATGCCCATTCTGCCTAGAAAACGGGGCGGCAGTATCCGTACACGAACAAACAAGGTCACTCCGAGACGAATAAAGACGAAAATTATGAATCAATTGCCCAATAGAGCGGTTCTTTGTCCAAACAAGCCTAAAGCGGCGACATACATTCTCAAGATACGCTGCGGGATATTCTAATCTTCGAATAATGTCTTTGCAAGCATCACGGAGCCTATCCTTCAGAATACCATTGTCGAAAGGAACTCTAACCACAAGACGTGCAGACAGACATAGTGAAAATTTCCTACGACAGACAGAGGACAGTATCAATTTCAAGGTAGTTCGGGATCTTATTGAGGAAATAGTACGTATGGCATCATACAACTGAATGAGATAGTCAAGTTCGAAGTCTTTAAGCTCTTTCCTAGCGGGAGGTGTATTAAGTAAACGGATCAAGGTGTTCTTAAGAGGTAGAACACACGAGCAGAAATGAGCAACGGAGTGAAAATAAATGACAGAGTCTGCATTGAACCAAGCCTGACAGTTCTTCAAGAGGGAAATAGGGAAGTCAGCAGTCGAAACAGAGGAAGAACCAAATAGTCGTTTAATCAGCTTCCATTTATCACAGAAGGAAGATCCGGAGGAAATAGGAATAGAAAAGGGTGTAGTGATTTTGAGGTTTGCTGCGTGTTAAAGAATCTGGACAAGGCTTGAAGAGATGTAACCAAGGGAGGATTCAAACACAAAGGGGTCATACCTACATTTCCTACCCCTGTCTTGTATAACCAGACCCAGTTTCTTTCGTTGTTTAAACCTTTCCTTTCTACCCCGGCGAGGACGTTTCCGAGAGAGCGTGCCATGTCTTCTACGATTACTAATCGAATTGAGGGTAGGTGAGAAAGAGTCAATAAAGAATTTCTCCAGATTCAGAATATCTTGCTCAGGTCCAGTAAAAATCGGGATAGCTACGTAGCAGTTCAAGCCCACTCTTCTTAACCATCTGTACAGCTTCCGATTAGCGTGTGAGGGAGAAACTAAATAATGAGTGGATGCAATATGCTCACGCCATCTAACTCCCAAAGGTCTCTTAGTGCAACCAATATACATATGGCGGTACCAAAGGGAGACCAAGGCATAGACAACCGGGCCAAGACAGGAAAATAAATCGTAATTCCTACTAACCAACGCAAGGACGAGATCATGAAACTTATTACATCAATCCAAATTACCATGAAGAATCAACAGAATAACAATTAGTCTATAAACAAAATGAAACAACGTACTTGCCAGATCATCATAGAAATCACGGCAGAACAGAGTCAGATCACGTAGTTGTGACGCGCCCAGGGAGTCCCCTCAAGCGTCATCAACATCTTCGGCTGAAGTGGCGTAGTGCAAGTCTCAGTCCTCTTCATCAGCGGCGTCTTTTTCTTTTAACCAAGCATCATAATTTCGGCTTGCTCTGATTTCAGCAATGTCTCCTCTGGCTTGATCCAACTTAACGTAGGTAATTCCTTCATTGGCACAGGCTTCTTCCATGTCACTCTTCTTAACCTGCCGTAGTTCCCTCAGCCTGATGTCCCGGAAGGCGGCCAACTTGGCGACCTCAAGATCACGAGCAGCGGTCGTCCCCTCCCGTTCAAGTCTGCGTTCCTCCCCCTGGGTCTTGTCGGCAACATCATCATCGGGTATCTCTTCCATCTCTTGGAAGCAAGTTCTCAGATTCCGTGGCGTAGTCTTCTTTGCGGATTGCCTTCGGGCGGAGAGTCGGATCCGCGAAGCCCCCATTCTGGCCATTCGATCCTTAAGCATCTGCGCCTCCTTGAGCGCCATCTCCTTGCCTGCGAGTGCTTCCTTGTAAGCCTTGTGGAGAGCGCTTAGGTCTTTTGGTGTATATATAGCCGTAGTGGAAGGATCAGCGCGCGCTTTACCTTTCGCAGGTTCTTCCGGAGGGCTGTTTTGAGTGATGACTCCCGAACCTCTTTTTCCTCGAAGAGCAAGGAAGTCCCCACGTAACCCGGCCACATCCCTCTTCAAATGCTGATTCTCAGACTTCAGCATCGATACTTCGGCATTCTTCTCCTCCAAGGTGGCACGGAAGCCACTGGGTTCCTTGATCTGAAGTTGCAATGCCAGTATTTCATCATGTTTCCCATTGTCGTGCGTGTGTTGCTCATTGCGGCTTCTTAACTCTGCGATCTCCTTAACTAACCGCTCTTCTTCCGACTCCTGATGTCTCGCTTTGAGCAAAGCCTCTTTCTCCTTTCGTAGAGCTTCCAAACGGTGATCATTCTCCCGTGAACTACTCGATGCCTCCGAAGACTTCGCCCGTAGTTCCTCAAGTTCCTTCCGCAGTTTCGCCACTTCACAGTCATCGTCCTCGGGTATATCCACCTTCCTCCCGAGGGCAGACTCACAAACCGCTTTGACACTGGTTCTCACAATTTTGCCCAACCTTGCCTCTTGCTGCTCGCGTTCCTTGTTTGCCTGGATTCTTCTCTCCTCCTCAGCTTGCAACTTCTTCTTCTCCTCCTCCAATAACTCCAATTTAACTGACTCATGCTTCCGTCGCTCACGCTCCTCAACTTGTTCTGAGAGTAAGCCGTACATCCTATCTAGTTTCTCATCCCTCTCACGCTCCCGGTCCCAATCTTCGTACCCTCCGGACCACGACTTCGAATATCGTTGCTCGTCAGCGTAGTTCCTTCGACGATAGTAAGTGTTGCCGCCACGTTGGTAATTCCCCCCATTGCCAGTTTGACCCCTATCTAGCGGTGCTTGATATGGTACGATAGCATTAGAGGTCCCCGAACTTTGAGTCGGAGTCTGTAGAAGACCTTGCCCTCCTCGACTGTTATATCCGCCTGATCCGTTCTCTCGAATGCGCGCGGCCATCTCCGCTCCGTTGGGCTGGAAACGGAATGGACACTTCCGGATAAAATGACCGGGGAGATGACGGAAGTGACATCCATTGCTCCGATACGCCATATTCTTCTCCTTGGGACTACCGCGTCACACCGTGAGTACAACAAGCAAAAAACGCTAACCGATGTATCCAACGCAGAAACAAGTGAATAACAGAATAGGAAAGAAGGAAAAAGAGGAAGGGAAAAGAAAGGGAAAAGAAAAGAAAAAGGAAAAGAAAAAGAAAAAGAAAAAGAAAAAGGAAAAACGAAAAACGATCAAAGGAGGTCGAAAAGAGATCAAAAGAGATCAGTAGTTTCGTCATAGTCACTCGGTCAGAGTAACATCCTCCGCCGGTTCACTATGTGTATGCTGCAGTGGAGATATGATCTCAAGCATCACAGTGGCTATGCAAAGCATGAAAGCCAAACCAAACAAGGGAATAAAGAAAAGAAGAAGAAAAGGAGGAAGAAAAGATAAAGAGTAGCGTAGTCCCCCAAGCGCGTCAGCTCGTTAAATTTCCAGAAAAAGCTGATCGAAAGATAGTGGCGTAGAAAACGCCGTAATAGCGTCGAAAACGCCGTAACTTGAAGCGCAACTGACGATTACCCTACACGTGTTTCGGCCGGTCCGCCAGTGTACCGGCCATCGTCAGGGGTAGCGCTGAAGAAACAGAGGACAGCCTAGACTATATAGT